TATCTCGAAAATGGATCAATGGATAAAAATGACAATTTCCAGAATATTTTGTCATGTTTTAATGAAGAAGTGTTTAAATTTTGGTCACAATCCAAAGTTGAAAACATTTTATTTTCAACTACTGAAACTATAAAAAAAAATGTGACAACTAGTGCAATTACTTAAAATGTGTACAGTGTTTCAGTACTAACTTCAGCTTTTGGGAACTGATTGGGAATATTTTTAATGCATCTTTATATTTAAACATGCAATGCTAAGAACCATTGAATATTTGCATAATATTCCCATTTCATTCATTTCATTTATTTATTTGACCAATACACATTTACAAAAGGTGCAGTACAACAAAAATTTTGTTCTGGGGCAGCTTAAGCAAAATTTTACTATAACTCATTGAGACTCTTGGCATGTATTTTTTTGTCAACTATAAAAGTAAAATGTTTAGGTATGTTTAACCAGAAAAAGTAAGGTATTGGCAGGTATACAACTAATACAATAAAAGGCCTAAGCGATTCTGGTTTAAGCCGGTTAGTTTATAATTGTTGTTAAGTAGGTGGTAGTTGAAAAGAGAGTTGTCACATTTTTTTTAACAGTTTCAGTAGTTGAAAATAAAATGTTTCAACTACTATATGTTGCTAGGATTCTGTGTTGACTGATAGGCTGACAGTGAATTTTGGTGAAATCATATCGGATTACAAAATAAAAAAATGGCAACTCAGAAAAAGAGTCCCTAAAAACCTATAATAAAAGTGGAAATAGTGCCCCTCTTTGAAATAAAAAGTGTTTGGGCGAGATACTGTGTGTGTTTGAAGAAGAGTGAAATGAAGTGAGGTGGGATGGTATTGGTGGTTATCATCATCTGCTACGTTGTTTCATCTTGGGTAGACATTACGTATATTAATTTTTTCCATGACTCTCTTTCAGGTGTCTGGTGGTCTGTCATTAACTTTTATTTACATGTTTAAGTTCATTGTTCATTGTTGAAACCCAATTTAAATTGGGTTTGCTTTATATACATATATACAGTACATGTATAAATTTACTTACAGTTTTCTGATTGTTAAGTTGTTCGCATTCTTTTTTTTTCAACTCCATTTTTTGTTCCAAATCTTTAAGGTTCTGTCCAGATATATTCCCAACATTATGGCTTTCATATGCTGCTACTGCTTTCCTTTTTGCTTCTTCATGGTTGCGACGATAGTCCCCAATAGGTTTCTGATAAGTTGTATATTTCTGTACACCAGTAGAAAAATGAGATTGACAACATAATTTTATATACTTTAATAATGGACATTATATATGGTAACCTCTTGTAACAATAGAATACTGTATTAAAATTTGCATGCAAGTGGATTAAAACGGCCCGGTAGCTTCTTGAGACTGGGCCCTCCTTCCAAGCAAAATAAGCAGCCATGGACCTGCTTTTGCCGGTTGGGGCCAGGGGCCCCGTCAGGGAGAAAAACCACAGTTCGTTGGAAGAAAAAAAATGTATATTTATTTTCTACATATTAGTGGACTCCAAAATCAATTAAATAAGCTTTTGAAACCCCTAAATTGTCATATCTTTCAGCCCCCATGGGACACTTTCAAGAGATTTTGAGCAATACCTGACCACACCCACTCCGCCCGTTTGGGACCTCGGACCCCCGTCAGACAAATTCTGGCATCACCACTGGGGTCCAGGAGAGAACCTGGTGAGATAATTTAACATACCAAGGGTCAACTACTTAATTTTGTATTATAGAATACTTTACATGATGATAGCTATATCATCAAATTGAACTAGATTTGAACTCGTCACTTAGGACGAGTTAGGTGATCCGCCGCACGCGTTACGAGGCACACGCGTAAAGTTAGGGTACAGTACATTTAACATTGACCCGAAGTTAATGCTCACTTAATACGATTTCAAAATTGCAATTGGTTAGGCTGATATGATCGATTATGTAAAAACGCAAAATTGCGCGTAGCTGACGTCACGCAAGACTGGTCACCTTGAAAACCTTACCGTGACTATTCCAGGGGAAGCCAAAATGATCGATGAAATGACCGTGTGCGTAACTCGTAGCAATTTTGAGATATCGTGCAAACAGAAATGGGGAGAAAGAAAAAAAAGATGATGATCCTGACAATTACAATAGGTGATCCGCTCGAGAAGCGGATCACCAATAACTTTTTCCTACATGTAGACTTTCTTGGCATAAACATCATCTCTTTCATTTTGGAATTTTCTACCACATGCTCAACCTCCAAAAAAATACACATACTTCCTCAATGGAAATGCAAAGACTTGGTATGTTAAATACTGTGTGTTGGAAATACTTGTATCTTTTGATGGCAAATGTTTTAAGAATTGTTATGGTTCTGAACAATTGCACTTTATATACAGACAAAATGGCCTTTCAGCATATAGACAAGTCAACTGCTGGCTCATATTTTTGTAAAATTTATGTGAAGATATGAAAAGCGAAAATGATTGGATGTTTAAACAATGTTGGGTGTAGTTGGTTTTGTCCTTGATTTATCTAGCAGGCTAACATTTTGTTACCAAGATATAACTTACAAACTACAGTACATGTTAATGATGATATTAGAAATGATGATACAATAATAATAATAATAATAATAATAATAATAAAAATACTAATGATAAAAAATACTAATGATAATAGAATACTAATGATAAAAAATACTAATGATAATAGAAAGAGGATAAAAATATGGTTTTGTTACCTGATCCATTGCCTTTGTGTACACACGAAATGCACAATTACAGGCTTCTTTCTACAATAACAATCATAAAAAAAATTACCAACTATTATTTTATCAAATCTTTATTGTAGAACAGATTTTGATCAAATTTATTACTAAACAATAAACCTATGATTATGCTTTATGAAACAGCTATTAATATTCTATAAATTTGATATATTCTTTTACAGCTTTATTCTATATTTACTAAAATCTTTACTGTAGAATAGATTGTGATTAATTTCTTTTTTATTGTAACACTAAATTATCAAATCTTACTTTACGTAGCTACATCCTGCAAAGGACCTAATGATCCATAACCGCAGGGTATGAACCAGTACGTCGGAGTAATCCCCTACTCGTCTTGAAAGATGTACTGGGTTCTTTAAAGTGCACACGAAACAATTGTGTACATTGGGCCCACGGTTTATAGTCATCCTAAAAGACTTGTTCCACCACCCGAACCATAGGTCAGCCTGCCGCTCAAACCAGCGCCAATGGCTGTAGGTTGCGGCCATTCGACTCACTTCTACTATTCTACTTAATGAAAATTATTATTCTATACATTTTATACAGCTTTATTCTATGTGTTTACTAAAAAATCTAAAATGTTTCATCTCTTACCCGAGCCATTATTAGATTGTAAGCTGGGTACTTCTTGGTAATGTTTTCTTCAAGTTCTTGTATGTACTCAGAATATGATGTGCCAATCCTTTCCCCATAATTGATGAAGTATTCAAAAGCTATTCTTTTTTGCTCCATAAACTTACTCTTCAGGGCTGTGTCCTTCCAATATGAGGAACATACCTAATACATGGTGAAAAAAAGTTCAACGTATACTTCACATCACCTATATAATTATGTCAACCTAACTGATTATTTTCAGTAAACTGGCAACTAATAAATGCTTTTCATTTTTTTAAATAATTTATAAGGTGTTCAGACTATTGACAAGGTTTCCCAAAAACTACTCAGACAGGTGCTAATGAATATACTTGTTACACAATGTATCACTGACTCTAATAACAATAATAATAATAATAATAATAATAATAATATGTGCTAAGTTGGTCTTAAGGGGAATATCTTTTGTGTTATAAGGTAGGTTTAGTAACATAATAATAATAATAATAATAATAATAATAATAATAATAATTTGTTAAATTTTTTGTTATAGTCTAGACTCTCTGTATGAGCCTACCAACAATTTCAGATGGTTTGAATAACACCTCCACCAGCCCCAGCATGGAGAATGCCCCCACCCCCCCTCATGACAAAGGTGTGGTTGTGGTTTAGGGCCTAAATAAAATTGTTAATGAAGGACAACTAGGGTATTAATTCAGTATAAAAACAACAGACATGTTGTTAAAATTTCAGGAAGAAGGGGGAGGGGAGCTAAAAGCCTGTTTAGTCTCCTTTTCCCCTCTACATCTACCCCTAAACAAGCGCTGCCCATTTTAGGCATGAAAAGATTAAAATTGCTTCTATCAACTAAAATTTGTTGACATGAGAGATGAGATTATGTGTATGTAAAATTGGTAATTGTTAGATCAACCTTCAGTAAAATCAGCAATAACAAATGCTCAGGTATAATTTGATAATATAGAAGTCTGACCTCTTTCATTCCAGTTTCAAATTTTGTCATTGCTTCTTGAAAATATCTCCAATTGTTAGATCTTGCATGTGCCTGTGATGAAAGATCAAATTGATTAAACATTTATTTATCTATACAATCTATTAAAAAATTTAACACAGAACTGCTCATTACCTTTTCTTCATTTGTTAAGCAGTCTTTGGATAACACTTTGAACAATAAAAGTAAAAAAAGAAACACACACAAAATTGAAAAATTTGATGACAAACAACTTACACAACTCATGTCAACCAAGGTTTATCATTAATGTATGTCGATTTAGGAATGACTCGAGAACCATGGCGTAATAAGAAGTTTTGATCATTTTCATTTTTGGAAAAAAACAAAAATAGGAGAAGTTGGTGATCCATTTTCGGATTGCAACCTGGGAAGTGTGATCCTAGGATGTGAAAAAGGAATTGCAACATTTTACTATTGACACTCGAGAGAAATTTTCATTGGCAGAGGAAGAAATCCCACTTGACATTCTAGAAAAAAATATTTTGATTGCAATAACACTGAAGATGGTTGAAATCTATATTCTTTGTATAAATATTTAAACTACTCTGAACTACATCAAGAATAATTGTAGATAAACACCTTTGATATTATAAGTTTGCAATTTTTTAACACTGTTCTCAATTTGTTGTGATCTTTTTGAAAATATGCATGACACAAAAAATATACCACAAAATTCAAGGCAGCTGAAACAGCTATATTAAGAAGTTGGTTTTTTCAATTTATTTTTATATTTATATATTTTGGTATATAATTTTCAACTGACAGTGAAAGGCTGAATTTGATTGCATTACAATATATACTGTATATGATATTGATTGCTATATATGTTAAAATTACCAAATAACTAAAAAATTGCTATTAAAAGTTGAGGTGTTATTATCGAAAAAGTATAAACACTAATTAAAAAAAAAAAATCCTTAATTACACATTAATTTTTGTACATAATTCATCAAAATTATAATATAAACATATAAAGACATGGAAATTTTCTGTTGAAAGATGGGTTATATTAACCGAAAGGTTCACTGATTAATCTCAGATAAGAAAGTATAATACATACTCCAAGTACTGAAATGCATGCCAATTGTTGTGATTCAATATTTTGACATTAATTATGTCATCATCAGGAATATATGAGTTATGTTGTTGAACAAAAACTTGAAAATCACCTCTATCAAATCGTTTTTTGCATAGTAAGCTAGCATTTTACTGTTGATGTCATCTTTCATTGCATCTTTTAATTTTCCATACTGTGTACTTGGATTTAACCTACACTTTTCATTGAAATCTGCCAGTGCTTGCATCTTCCGATATTCAAGAAATTCATTTAGATTTTCTTGGTAGTTCACACATAGCTGTAGAAAACACAAATATCATACTTTTAGCATAGAAACATAAAGTGGGATATATATATATATATATATATATATATATATATATACATACATATACATATATTATATACATACATATACATATATTATATACACATATACATATATATTATTTATTATACATATATACATATATATACACATATATGTGTATATATATGTGTATATATATACACATATATTTATACAAGTAGGGGCATGTGGTGCAGATTGTATTGAAGATTGCACATGATGATGATGTTTTATTTATTTATTTAATCAATCTATTTTTATTCTGTTGGCACTTCCAGTACTATAGTACTGATTTTCAAAGTGGTACAGTGACAAGAAACATACATACAGTGTAAGTAGTAATAAACAGTGAATAAAATTAAATAAAATTAAAAAAAATGATTTTAACTGATTTTGGAATGACATTTTAAATATTTGTGTGGTAGTTCATGATGCTCTATACGTATGTCATATGTTTGATTATGATGATGATGATGATAAACATTTAGCAACAGTATGCTGGTTTTGGAATAGCATGCCTCATATGAGATGTATGTGTGTTAAACTGTAAGAAAATATAATTGTCTGAGATTTACCTTATCCACATCTGCAACGAAACTCTGCATCACAGCTGTGTATGACTGATGGTTATGTGCCAGAGCATGAGCCTAAATAAAATGCAATATCAATCACAGCAATTAATAAAAAATACTTCATTTATTGAGTGCCTTGTGGATCACAGATACATTAAAATGTTGACTGCCAGACCTTTTTTAAGTTTCCCTCCCATGTGCCAAAACAAGTTTACATGTACAAACATACTTTTGTGAAATTTTAACTAGTCATATATCATCAAAATGATGTGTCTAATAAATTGGCGGGAAAATATTAGGGGGCCAGTATACTTGTCGACGGCACTGTGATAGAACGTTTTATTGACTATGCAAGTGCAAGTATATGTTCAAACGGCGCCCCCACTTGTGTCGCTCGAATGTACTACCGGCAACATAACAGAACAAATATACATATGCTATATATATATGTTATCGTCTAGGTGTATCTTCCCCAAACTACCAGCCGTTGAATCTGTGGTTCTACAATATATACCAAAGAAGTTATAAACACTAGAATGTTACGCCAATTTTGACAAGTATACTCGTCCCTGGCGCCCTCAGTAAGTACCTGTGGGCGAGTATACTCGTCGCTGGCAGCCAGCGTGTTAAGCTCCAAATACCATCCCAGTATTTCCGAGTTTAGGTTTCAATGCTGGAATATTATAGTTCTTTTGTAAATTAACTAGGCCTACATTAAAGTTCAGTTAAAATTTCCCCCACTGGACATCCTCCAGATATTCCATAGGTTTCAGGGCTGGAACTAAAGACTGAGTTAATGATGATTCAGATTATTTTATTTGTATATACAGTAGAACCCCTCCTTTGGTACAACCCTATAATGGAACACTTTATATTCTATGAAACGAAAGGGCAATATATATCTTTTACCACAAAGGTCAACCAAGCGGACACCCCTATTAAGAGGACGGGGACACAGAGTAATTATGATACTTCCAGTCAGGCTTTTTCCAATGTAAATGTTATAGCATTTTTAGTTGCCATAAGAGAACACCCCTATTAAGGGTAACAACAGTAGTTCACTTTAAAACTAATATTTTGGCCTTTAGTTATACACTCCAGAAAATTATAGTTACCCCTACGAGAAATTTCAATATAATTTTCCCCCTAGATTTGCTACAAATACCATATCCAACTACCTTCTATGCTAATTAATGCTTATTAGCTTATGGAATCTGAAATTATTTATCTTCTGAGCTATTAGGCATATTAAGCTAATTGATCTCAAACGTCTCAGATTATCCATGTTCATATTCCAATGTTTATTTTCCTCTAAAGAAAACCGTGTAACCACAAATGAAACTAATTTTTATCTCTGACTAGTAATCAATCAGGTTAGTAAACAATTACATCTTGGCAACTATCGTAATTCGTACTTTTATTTATTTAATCTTTATACTATAGGCATTTTCAGTTCTATAGTTCAAATTGTCAATCATTTTGCAATTAAACTAGTAGATTTAAGTTTGTGTGTCCTTAACATTTTAGTCACCTTGTATAATTTGCTTTTCAAAGAAAACCCCTATTAATGGGACAATTTTGGATTCTCAGTTAATGTATCGAAAGACTCCCCTTAGGGCACATAGAAAAAATTATTAGATTACCACTCTTTTTAAAAAAAAAATTGATGAGGGAGGGCGTTTTTTTTTTTTTTTAATCGGAACAATAGATTATTTTACTTTAGTTTTTATCGATGAGAGAGGGACTGTTTATATTTGGTCTGTAATAGTAAATATTGTATAAAAACTGGTTTAATTTTATAGTTTTTTAAAGAAAATGTATTATTATTTTTATGCTGTTGAAACAATTGATGCAGCAAAAATTTTTTTTTATTTCCGCATCAGTATTTCCCGAATTTTTAACGGGAGTGATAATCTAATAAATTTTTCTATTTGCCCTTAATAGGGGTTGTACTGTATTAATATGATATTTGCTTTCCTGGACAAATACAAGGAGAAAATAATTAAAAACAAAATATTTATGGAATATGCGAAGGTCTGTAAAGTAATACTGTAGAACATAGTCCTTATCAAACATGAACAATGCCTTCAAATAATAAATTGGATTTAAGATTGGATTGGATTATAATAAATTGGATTTAGGATTAGATTGGATTTATTTGGTGTAAACACCAAGGATATCCCACAAAAGTCTAGAAGAAGACTTATTTCCAGTGGGGTCCTTCTGGTGATAATTGGGCAGTACACCGGGAGACAATCTTCTACTCTTTTCCGAAGAGTGTACTGCGTTCTTTAACGTTCATAATGCACACGGAACCAACGGCTTAATCATCTCATCCGAAAGACGGTGCGTTATTGTAACTTGTATTTTAGCCCTCTAGCTGAAACACAAGGAGACGCAGCGATGGGAATTGAACCGGGGACCTACATGGGCTAAGCTGCTCGCCGTCTGAGCTAAGACAAAGAAAATTAAATTCTTTAATGTCACTTCAAGCCATTAAAATGTGGTATAGCCAACAAAAAGAAAAAAAAAATAAGTACTGCAAAAATATGAAGTACTGGCCCTCTACCTGTAAGAGGTCCTTACATTAATTTCATAATAAAAAAATATTCTTCCATGGAAGTATTTACCTCATTTATTGATGTACTTTCAACCTTTTTCCCTTCTTCATTAATAGTCTTCACATAATCCTGAAACATAAAATGAACAATCATTAGATAATTAAAGTGTAAATTTCGGTAAAAGCAGTTAAAGTGTAATGCTATATTATTTCAATAATACCTTAAAATAATCGACTAAGCTTCCGCATGTAATGCTTTTGCCATCAATCTTTTTAGCTTCAGTTAATTCGGATGAAAAGATAAAATTTGCCAAATCTTTTATCTGCACTTGAAATCTCTGAGCAATGTCTGAAAATGATTGATCAAATCAATTATAAAGTATATATAATAGTATATATATATAAAGTATACATTAAGTATATATAATAGTAGATTTAAAGTAATTAGATATAATTATTAAATATATAAAAAAAAAACTATTATCTATTTATTTATTCATTCATTCATCTAATTTGTTTATCCATCCTTCCATTTGTACAGTCCATTCAACCATTAAAGGCTTCTTCTATGAATGCAATAACCTGTACGAAACATGAGCTCCTGTAGACCAAACTCAGTACCGTTGCGATTTTAATCGTGTAGAAAATTCACTTATGATGTATTGTAGGCTTTAGTGCTGGACATAGGATTCAGGTGCAGACTGTGACCTCAGGCATTTTTCTCCCATTCAAAAGCTACACCTTCACTATTAACCTATATTTTCCTATTTCTTAAACCTACTATGCTATATTCAACCATAAATCTGACCTTTTTTCCTACTACATTCTATCTACTATGTACACAATACATAGATTCTAATATTTTAATATAATAAATAATATTTATTTTAATAAATAACTTAGATAATAAATTATTGAAAATTAAATTATTCCTTTACATTAAAAATTACAGTAGTCCTATTTCTTGCGTTTCAATGAGTAGATGCTAATAATACAGAACAAAATTACTCCCTCTAAATACATTTTTAAAAATGTTATGCCCATTTTCAATATAAAATTATCCATCCTGCTGTTACGTAATTTATAACAAATACTAACCTCTAATTTGACCATTGCTCTCACCCTCACAAACTTCATCTCCTGGGCGAGGCATAAGAAAACACATTATATTAGCAAACATCTCACTAATCGACTTCCTTAAGTGTTGGTTTTCTTGGCTCTGTTTTGGAGATACTGTCTATCAAGTTAAAAAGAAAACAAAAACTACAATAATGTGGTCTATGCTGCATTAAATCATAAAGTGCTGTCCACACTATCCTTGACTAAAAAACTGCTGTATGCCCATATATAGTCATGATGCACCTATATATGATCATGATGCACCCATATATGGTCATATTTAGACATTTCACAGGTTTTTATTATACAGATATTGCCTGCTTAGTGTAATATAACATTTGATATCAACGAGGGAATTATATTTTTTTCGAGGGATTATATTTTCCAGAAGCGCGTAGCGCTGAGCAGTGGTGTCGCTAGCGGGGGGCAGGGGGCTTAAGCTCCCACTGGACAGGTCAAGCCCCCACCCCCGCCGGACAGAGCCCGTCGGGCAGTCAGACCATAAAGCATATAAAAATAGGCCCACACCAAGCCAACACATGTCTGTTACAGTCAAAGAGTCATTTTTGGTCATCCAGAGGTTGATATTCTTTAAAAAAATCTCATTAGGGTGGGGGAACTGGTGACGTTAGAGACCGGTCACTTTTCAAAGTAATATTTTCCTACGGGGAAATATAACGTTTTCGATCCTCGTAGCGCTAGTCACGTGATGCCATTTCGAACAATCACATAATCGTATTGACATAGGCTATGTAATATAATAATATATAGCATTTACAATGAACTGAGTTAATTACATTTTGAAAAGCAAAAGAAGAATCATATTTACATCCAATTTCATGTACCAGTATTGAACTACGTTATTATCCAGTGGTGGCATCTATGGGGAAAAGCCATTTTCACCCACCCCATCGGTCTATCGAGGCTCAAGGTTCAGACCCCACTGTTGTACATGTTGGACTAATATTTCTGAAGCCACCACTGGTACTATCCTACCAGTTACCTAATTAAATGGATAAGAGCACACACTTGTGTCAATCTCCAGATATAATATAATAATAATATAATAAAGTAAAAGATGGAAGTAGATGCTGGGATTCAATATCACCAGTGAAAGCCAGCAGTTATCAACTAACCATGACTTTTTTAAGGTGCTGCAACCCTCCATCTATGCCAAAGCTACTTTCACGAGGATTCTTCCAATCACGAATAAGAAATAACAATGTCTGAAAAAATGTTAGAAATATTATTTGGCTTATATGAACAAAAGGTAGGATCATATAATTCTCAATTTTCATTGGTTCATAAGAATGATTTGAATCTACTGGTCTGAGAATGATAGTGAATGCGCACAGGCTCTCTAAACCTCAATACATTGTACACAATAAAGTGACACATAAACTGACAGACTTGCCATAAGTCTCTGATTTATTTATTTTTTTCCTAGATATTAGATAATTTTAGAGAGTGCCACCAGTGTCTTTTTATGTCGAGAAACTTGTTATGTTGAATTTGGAAGGGGTAAAAATTATAGTATATAATGCCATGTAAGTAATATGGAATGCCAATGGTGCCAAAATCAACTTATTTTTACACATTTTCACTGATTAAGACAGATTATAGGGACTGGAATCCAGTAATAAAGCTGATTTAGTGTGATTTGGACGGTCACGATCAAAGTTTACTTTTTCCTGCTTCTTGTGCCCCAATCCAGACTCAAGTACAAACCTATAGCATTAGTTTGAAATTTATGTCTGATTGCTCAGCTCCTCGAATATCACTCACATGAGAGATAAATAGTATAAGGGACAAAGCATCCATTATACGGTGGTACTATTTTTTAAAATTAAATTGGCATATTTTCAAAGTGTAGGCTTGTCTTTGAGAGTCAAATAATTTGAAAAAAAATTCTTCTAACCTGGAAAGGTTTCTCATTATTTCCCTTAATTGCAGCTCCAAACTTCACAAATAGCTGAAGAAACTGCAGATCGGCTTCATTAATATCAGATTTCACATTATAAATCTGCAACAAAATACTTCTCATATTTTTAATATGTATAAAGTAGAGTACCTAACTTTAACCATATTAATTTATACATCTTTTAAAAGTTTACTTTGATAATTTTGACCTTTGATTTTGTCTTTATCCCTGAAAGACCTTAATTAATCAAACAGGATTATTTATGATTGGTATTATTTTTTTATCCTTCATATAATTTTTTCATTTTTAATGAATCTCTCGTTTTTTTCACGTTGGCTTTGTAATGCTGACCATCTCAAAACTCGCTGCCAAACATTGCAAAACTGAAAGTTACAGAAAATTCTACTTCAATCGAATTTTTTTCCCATGTGGAACCAACTCCCTCACCCCATACATTCAAACTCCACAATATCTGGT